CATTCACTCCCCTCCTCAGATTCACTGCATACCCATCAGGGAACATCAACGTTTGCATCCATTCAAGAACTTGCCTCCTTTGGGGCCTGGTCAAGACGAAATCGGCCTTAGGCTTGCTCCATGTCTTGCCGCCTCTAGGAGGCTTCATTTCTTGCTTTGGTCTATCGCATAACGTTGCTAGGTCCACTCTAGCCTTAACGTTGTCCTTTGACTTTTCAGTGTCCATGAGTGTTCCCCAAAGTGCCTCGGCCACATTCTTTTCAATGTGCATCACATCAATGTTATGTGGAAGAAGGAGGTCATCATAATAGGGGAGCCTCTCCAAGCCCGACTTATGAGTCCACATATGTTGGTGACCATATCCCACAAAACCATCGCCTTGTGGGTTGTGACGAGAGCATCTATCGAGCACGAACCTCGGCACCCGTCATGATCTACTGGTCTTGGGTGCATCACTACCACACCTTTCGTAAAGTTCTTGATGTCTCGTCTGAATGCATGCTCAACAGGGAGGAACTGTCGATGCTTGTCGAGCGAAGAATACTTGCCACCCTTCTTCAACCAAATGAACTCCACAACTGTCTTGCATAATGGGCATGGGAACCTCCCGTGAACACACCAGGCGTAGAATATCCCATACGCCAAGAAGTCGTGCAGGGAGTAGTGGTACCAGACATGCATTCTGAAGTTCCTCTTCGTAGCTCGGTCATATGTCAACACCGCTTCCTCCCAAGCATGGACCAACTCATCAATCAGAGGCTCCATGAACACACCCATCTTATTCCCTGGGGGCCCAGGAATTATCAATGACAAGAATATATTCTGTCGTCAAAACACGACACTGGGGGGGGGGAGATTGAGGGGGATAACGAAGATTGGCTAGCAAGTGTATGGGGCAGCCATCAGTCCATAAGGATTGAACCCATCTGTTGCTAGCGCAACACGTACATTACGAGCCTCAAGAGCTTTCTCACGATGAATCCCATCAAAGTGGGTCCATGCTTCACCATCGGATGGATGTACCATCTTCTCAGGACTGTATCGAGTGCCATTTTTGTGCCACGTCATCTGTTTCGCGGTTTCCTCGGTCATGTATAGCCGTTGGATCCTCGGTAAGAATGGAAGGTACCATAGGATCTTCACGGGGATCTCAAGCTGCCTCTTCTGACCATCACTAGACTCTACCTCCATGTACCTAGAGGATTGACACTTTGGACGATTTTGCTTTCTCGTGTCCTTTCCTAAATAGGGACGCACCCCTTCGGACAAGCATGTATCTCGCTCATATGGCATCTTGAGTGCACGAAGGAGTTTCTACGACTCGTACATGCTCTTTGGCATAATGTGAGCTTCGGAAGCAAGCGCCAATAAGCGCCAACGTAGCATCGTAACAATCTCGACTCATGCTAAACCGAGCCTTTAAGGCCATTACCGATCAATGGCATCCAGTTGAGAAAAACCTTTGTGTGGCCGTGAAGGGGTTTTTGTGCGAAGACAACATGTCATAATACGCCTTTGTGGTTGCCTCGGCTCCTCCTCCCCACCTTCTTCACCTCGTGGTGCTGCCGTGAAAGTCATTTAGCATCCACCTACCCGGCATCAAGATCGAAATCTTCGACGCGTGCTCTCACGACCTCCTCTCTCATCCGATCGGCTTCACCGTGGTAGATCCACCGAGTATAATCTGCCGTGAATCCATTCTTGCAAAGATGAGTAGACATGACATCCTTTGGTTGCCGGCGCTGTTTGCACATCTACCGCATGGACACCAAATGGTGGCGACGCCTCACGGAACTAGGGCAAATGCTCTATCTATGAAAGCCTCCGTCTTCTCAATCCATTCATCAGTCAAAGCACGCTGACTTAGGCGGCCCGTGTACATCCACTCACGGTCATCCATCCTCTGACATATATATATATATATATATATATATATATATATATATATATATATATATATATATATATACCAAATGAGACATTAAGAATCAATTGCATGTACACGATGTTCCTACCATCTAATAGGTTAGGATAGGTCCTAATCCCACCCGAGGATCGTGAGGTGGGGTTAATCTCCATGGTCTACTCCGATCCGAGACAGAATTTGGCAGCACCTCCCGTTGTTCTCCAAATACACGCCCCGGTAGGGAGATTGTGTATCCGGAGAACAACAGGGAGATCTTGGAAAACTCTCGCGGAACGGAGTAGACCACGGAGACTAACCCCATCTACGCATCCTAGGGCTGTCCAAAAACGTGAACAATTCGAAACAGATACGGTTATCGACATGCAAAGAGCTACATATTTCTAACCGTATCTCTTTCGAACGGGAGACGCCTAACCGGGTTACGTGCTCTACAAACATGCATGATACAGAAAAGAGGGGTGTTTTATGCCTCACCTCGCTGTCCCGCAAACAGGAGAAGCCTCAACCGCTACAAGGTCCACGGAACACCAACAAACAGCCAGAAGCTTCAGTCCTCCCTAAAAGAATAAGTCTGTTCAAATTTAAAATATCTTATATTTAACCGAATTTATAAGAAATAGTATCAACATGTATGAATTTAACCACCGACAGCAAGCTAGACTTTGCCTTTGACCTAAGTCACTGTAAGCCAAAACTCCTATCCAGTCAGCATGTTCATCCAATCATGGACCACCACATCACTTGTCAGCTTCCAATTGAGCCCAGTCAGCAGCCGGACATGGCAATCTTGTAATATATATACCTTCTATCAGTCAAACTAAAAATTGTTTGATCTAGCACTATTCTAGAGTTATCTCGTTTCTAGAATGGAGGGAGTATCAAAGAAGCAGCACTAGTGCCGTTTCTTCTTGTTTATTTATTAATTTTGTTGTTGGTTAGATAGAAAATATTGCTAGCTTGATTCCCTGCGTCTGCGTGCATTTTTTTATGAAGTCAGTTGCTACGAATAAACTAGCGGCTGCTGCGGCTGAACAGTGGTCATCGCGAACACAGAAACAGTAGGTACATCAATTTCAAATACTACTAGGTTTATTTCGATGATCGAAGGAAGATTAGGCTCATGCGCAGAAACAGTCCTCCCTAAAAGAGATATATAACAACTGTGAACTGTCTGATCAAATAGTAACCCAACTTGGCTTATTGCCTTTACTGAATATATATATGACTCTGTGACTAGCCAACATGACACATCTAGTTAGAGACCTATCTATGTCGAATTTGCATCAGGAGAATTGAACTCTAGAAAGACAGAGCTGTGTCTATTTGATGGAGAATCCAAACCGCAGTAGCATGGAGCACGTACAGGAGCAGACCCACTAAGGACATGGGTGCACACATGTACACCCCCATAATTTTTGCGAAACAATCAAAGTTAGCAGGCATAATACATGCATAGTTGCATATACACTTGGAACTAGATGATCAAGATTACTGGTCACAAAGGCAAAGCTGTCTCACGACAACAAAACAATAGTAGATATCACCATCTTGGTAATCAAGATTCAGTCTTCAGTGAAAAGGAAAAATTCAGTTTTCAGTGAAAAGATCTTGGTCTTGGTAACAACAAAGTGGTTAGTTCTGGGAATGTCTCTCCGTATATTCCCGACTCTAGCCCTTCTCTTCCTTTGCCCTTATTCAATCCACTAATGCTACTGCTGGTGTCTTTGGGCATCACGTTACAGCTTGCAAGTGACAGCATGCTTTGGCTTCTACCCTTACCACACAAGAAGAGAAAGTGAGGCTGTAACAGCTAGCGATAAAGCAGATCTCTCTTTAGCCCGAGTGGTGTCATCTCGTGCTTGTCATTGCAACTCAAGAATGCACTATAGCCTCAAATGGCTTTATTCTCCTTCACTTCACCAGGATATGATCTAGTTAGCATCTTTTTCTCCACATCTATAACAGAATTGACCTTATGCATCTATCCTCATTGGATGGCACCAGAGTGTGTCACCAACAACTAGCTCAAATGGAAAATCCACAAGATTTTATTTTAAGATAAACAACACACACACTAAATGGCCAAGAGAACAATTTGCTAGTCCACCAAGTGAGCTTTGTAAAGACAGACATATGACTATATTCATAGGCATGCTACAACTAGGAAGATTGCTAATGAAAAAACAGCCTACAAATTTTCAAAATATGGGGTCAGGGCACTAGTTAACAGCTGTGGCTCACACTGCGAATCTGTTACGTGTTGGGCTATCGCATAGATGGCCTCCTTGGATCCACTTAAGGTCCCGCTGCTTCTTAAAAAAACTTAAAATTAGCACCTGCTCTACTACTAATTTTAGCAACTCTCAGAGATCAAACTTGAGATGCTTGACTCTTCATAAAATTTAAAATAACTTATAATTTAAAAGCGAATCGAGTATTAATGTATGTTATAGGATGCTAAAGTTAGCAAGATCCAAATAGACCGTAGTACCTAGTACTCCTTTTCATCCACGAAAATACGAGATACCGAGCAATTGTAGGATCAAATAATATTCGCTAAAAAACTAACTCACTCCTCACTAGTTAGTTTGGTTGTCAAGTTGTTTAATTTCCTAATAACACATAGTTTTTAATTAAAACACATTCATACTTGTTATTGATTTCAGCTATCAATTATAGAAGTTATTTTGTTCAAGATGGACCTAAAAGTCATACATGGATGTGGTTTAAAAAAGCAAACATGCATAGTTAATGTTGAACGATCAAAATACCTTATTTTTTTGAACATTTGATACTTTCTATTTCGATTGGGAGCGAGGAGTATTTATTTTTGTCTTTATTTACCAATAATCATCCTTCAAAAGTTGGCCAACCATAAGACTCGCACCCATGATCACGCATACACAATGAAAGACATGCTCAAAAGAGGAATATCTAGTCCATTCCTCCCTTCTGGGTTTCAAAACGATATTTACAAATCAATGTAGATTAAACTTTAAGCAATCAGACTTCAAAAGGCAAATCGACTCAAAAAAGGATATCAAGGACATTAGGAACATAATCGGACTAATAATCACAAATCATGACAACCTGCTAACACCAATTCAAGCATTCATCACCATCAACTCTAATTTATAAACTATCTCCATCCTCAAATGAACAGCTATTTTTGAAATCACTCGATGGTGTCTAAGCAGGACAATATGAGAAGCAAAGTGAGAATACAATGGGGCTTACCGGAGAATGGGGAAGCGGTGGGATCTGCGGTGGCTCTCTGGGCGACGGGCGAAGTCTCCGCGATTCTCTCCACAACCCTAGGGCGGTTTTGTGGGTGTGCTTTCGCGCCCAAGGCCGGTTTCATGCAGTGGGGACGGGGTGGGCCAGCCGGTGGTGTGGCAGTGAGCCGGGGGGGGGGAGGTCGATGGTCGGGCAAGGGCGGGGCGGGGAGGGGGGGGGGCCGTGGAGTGGGGGAGGGGCGTGGGGGAGCTCGACGGTTCTTGGCGTGGGGAGCACGATGGAGTGGGGAGGAGGAGGGCGTGGGGGAGGTCGACAATGGCGGAGAGGGGGAGGGAGGTCGACGGCCGCGAGTGAGGGGAGGAGTGGAGTGGGGAGGAATGGAGAAATGGCAGAGCCGCCCATGGCCTATCTATTTTTTTGTTAGCTGTTTGCCGAGTGTCGGCCCGACACGACACTCGGCAACGTTTTAAAAAAATCCATCAGCTTTTGAGTGTCACCGATGGCGCACTCGGTAAACTACTTAAAAATCCCTGTTCTCCTTGAAAAATTCCATCAGTTTGCCGAGTGTCACCTATGCAGCACTCGGCAAACTTATTTCTATATTTCATGCTACCCTTTTCTTTCCTCTACTTAATTACTTTGCTCTATTTCATGTTTCACTAATTTCATGAAATGAACTTGCATTACACTTTGTTAGGTGCACTCACAAATGTATATTTCAAGCTTGTACAAAAATTGGACTATTATTTCCTATGTTTGTATATCACGCATATAAAATTCAATAATTGCGACGAAAGAATTAAAATTACGAAATGGCTCTGAAAAATTGCCAAAAATTCACAAGAAGCGATCTTTGTTCTCTATTATATATACAAAATTTTTTTGAAGTGAAACTCCAAATCGACATTCAAATTGTCTCCTCATCTTACCGGACCTTTCTCACATCTCAGAAACTTCTCCGGAGATGATCCGATTTGTAAGCAACATACGTGTCTACTTTGTCAAAACACTCTCAATTTTTTATAATAGCCTCCACGTATGATATCATGACAACTCAACGAATTTCATGATTTTCAGACTTCGTTTGTTTTTTATAGAATTTTCAGACGTTTCCGCCACGCGTTTCTGCTCATGTTTCGCGAACACAATGTTCGAGATTTCTGGTCTAGCCTTGGATACGGTATCAAAACAAACTCAGTGAAAAGAATATCATTTTTTATTCACTTTTTTCGGATATTCGAAGCACTTGCAGTTCAAATCCAAAAAATTACCGAAAATTCATTTGACTAAAATAAATTGATGAAATATAGTAAAATAACTCAGAAATGTACATTACTTGAATAGAGAGCAACAGGTATTGTAAGACAACAGTACAAAAAGTTTGGGGGGGCAAAATAAAATAAAATGTTTGCCGAGTGTAAGATTCTGACACTCGGCATATAACAGCATTTGCCGAGTGTCAAAAGGTGATACTCGGTATAGATGTGTGTTTGCCGAGTGTTGTATTTTGGCACTCAGCATATATGTGGGTTTGCCGTGTGTTAACGTGTGCCACTCGGCAAAAGGATAACGGAGATCGACCGGTCTTACCGGACATGAAGTTGCCGTGTGTCTATTTTTTGCCTGAGTGTAGGCACTCGGTATAAACCGTTATGCCGTGAGTTTTATTGTTGCCGAGTGTCGTCTTTGGGACACTCGGCAAAAACCATGTTTGCCGAGTGCCCGAAATCGTGCCCACGGCAAAGGTGGGGACACTCGGCAAATTAGGTGTTTCCAGTAGTGACTCGAGTATATTCCCTGTAGAGCTTGGTGATCATAAGGGAAGTCAACGCCCAAACTCTTAGCTATTTCAATGAGAGAAGGGAATGCAAGCTCGAAACCTATCGGCATTGACTCTTCGTCTTCCACCGCTAACTTCCACATATTCTGATTGAGAAAAGAGAGCCCTAAAAGTAAAGCAGCACGCAATTTAGCAACGCCCATCATTCAGTTGAATCGAGGGTACCCAAATTTGGTTCACTATACATACTCTGCTGTAAATGGGTACCCAAATTAATTTTTTCTCAATACCTTTGTTGCACATTTCAGGTTCAAGAGACCATTTTGTGAGTGTGACAACACACCCAAGCGTGTTTATCAGACGGTCGTAGGCAGAGAACAAGTCCGCATCGCCCCAGGAGCCATCCGGGAGCTGATTGTTTACGATCCACTGGACGGCGGCTGGGAACTCTGGGCCCTCGCCGCCGTCCAGCCTGGATACCAAAGCAACCCAAGCGGTGTCGTATGCTGAGATGCTGATGTCCCCATCGTTCACTGATCTCAGTATTGCCCTAATCTGATCGATGAGTGGTTCAGAGTCTGTCCCGTGAACCTGATGGGCAACAAGCTAACAGCTGGGAAATTAGCAAGTTAGTTATGCTAGCTTATGCACCACTAATACAGCTGTGTTGTTGAGAACATTATACTAATACAATAAGAATGTGAAACGATCGATCATGTATATGAAACGCAAGAATATATATCGCCACGGAAGGAAGTTTCACCTCAGAAATAACATGTTGGTTATCAAGGTCGTCTTGCAGATGCGCAGGCCATTTCATGTTTTCAGCATCGTTTCCCATGATGGGTGTTAGGGAACCTGCAGGTGATGCATGCGTTTGAAACTTATTTGCACTGGAATTGACAGATTACCAGCTAGGATAGGACTAGGATGATCCCTGCTCAAATTGGACCGATCGATGACTGATACCTTTGGCGACGGCTGAATCGCTGGTGTCCTGCACTTGGGCCCGGGCCCTCCACCGGCCGGCCATGTGGACACCACAGCGCTTTGCTTGGGCGGTGGCGACTGCATCCTTCTTGTTGCGCGGGGAACTCCATGGACGACCTAGTTGAATCGCAAGAGGTGAACTGAAGGCGGTGAGAACCAGCCAGCTGCCTTGTTATTAGTCAGGAGTACGTTACGATATATAATTAATGTAAGATGAAAGAGGAAGGAATCACAAGTAATACAAATATATAATGCAGAAGTGTATGATGCAGCCATGCTGGTTCGCCAATACGTGCGTAGGGATCAGGAGAACCAACGCACAAATTCCATGGCTCTCTGCATCTTGTTTGCAGTGCTTTTTGCTCTCTACTTGTTGAGATCTACTACGAGTTTTTTTTTTTTGAGAAGAGATCTATAAATTTTCCCACTGGAATTAAACGCATCAAACTATAAATTCAGAATCGTCTGAAAATTCTTTAATTAATACTCCTACAGTCCCAATATGCGGACGAATACTGACCTGTTTAATTCATCATATGAAGTAGTACCACTTATGCATGCATGCGTTTCAACAAGCCTTGGTATTTTCTGTTGCTTTTCCAAATTAAAGGAGGGCTGCGCGTGATGATAATTCTAGCACAGTACTAAATTAAAATATCTTAAGTTTGACTAATATTATATATAAATATTATCAAGTAAGTATCATTTAATTTGCCATAGAATATATTTTCATAGTATATCTGTTTGATGTTATAAAAATATTAATATTTTTACCTATATATGAGGTCAAACTATAGGTTGTACCATAACAAAAAAAACCAGTTAGAATTGCATTCTTTGTTAATGTCTCATAAACATCAAGTATAGCATGTTGATGTCGTAACCCCTCTTTGAAAAAATAGTGCAATTCTAGCATAGCATCGATTCAAACCATTTTAAGTTTGTAACAAAGGTATCAACATTATGATACCTAAATTAAAAAAAACATTTATGATACTAAATAAGTGGCGTCATTAGATTTGTCATATTTTTATAGTATGCTAGGTTGGTGTTATAAATATTATTGATACACTTTTCTATGTATATAATTGATCAAATTTTAGATAGTTTGACTAGTCATTCTTTTCATAAAGGTGGTAGTAACTATTTTCTACCGTAGCTTTGTTATAGTTGCTTGATTATCATCATCATTCGATCCTTTGGCTCAGAGTATTGCGTAGTCTTTATATGTCTCTTCTTGTTGATATGTATACTAATCGATAAGTCTTATCCATGGTGCATTTAACATATTACCATAGTTTAAATAGTTTTCTTTAAACTGCCATATAGCTTAAAAGCTGGCAATGTCCCTTAGGAGTTTGGAAGGTTGCCTAGTGCTTGTTGAATAACCAGAGGTCCAAGCATCATATATAGAGAGAGGTTTCGTAAATTTTGACAACATTCTCAACTATTTAGTGAGGGTGTATTATGCATCCATGCAAAAATTAAAATGGGTGAAGCCCTCAAGCCTCGGTGGAAGAAGTGAAATCAGTTCTCACTTTGCTCCTTTTTTTTTGCAAAGAGTTGAGTTCTTCCTCTTTTGCAGGATAGCCACGGACTCTTCCGAAACATTTGGATATAGGAAAAGCTAGAGCCAAAGCCAACGCGTGCCTCTAACGATGGTTGAATAGCTCATGTTGTTTGTCTCCACCTTCCTTCTCCCTGTATAGCATCGGCCAATGCTTTTTACTATCCCGCGACAACAAAAACTTAGTCCCTTGACACGCTCGCTTAAATGTCTCTTTCTTTGATAAAGTTTTCTACTTGATTGGCATCCATCCACATGTTACCAACAACATATCATTCTCTATGGAAATTGTCAAGGAACTAGCTCCTATCTTGATGATTCCATTTCTCTTTTTCGAAGTTAGCTTCTTTCCTATGGTCAAGACAGTAATTGGGTCTCCCCATCTCTCCTCAACTTCCACAGTCTTCCGCCCGAGCTGTAAGAGGCAGAAACTCGTCCTTGAGCCTACCTTCGCACACCTCTGTTACTCTTTAGGCATCCGCCCTAGATAAACTACCCACCTCGTAGTCCCCCCCTGTAACACCCCGGTGTTATGCCAGCATTTAGGCACTGCAAATCATGCATATCATGCATCATCAAGCATCCTAATCATACATGCCTAATCATGTAAATAACAACTGAAACACTACTTCGAAACATACGAAACATGTTCATTAAACCTGAATGTTGCATGCACTTGTTAGAGTTATTTTTGCCCTGGTTATGTTTGCTAGGCTAGTAAAACATGTTTGGCTACTATTGTAAATCATCTAGGATTATTTAGTTCAATTTTTGGAGCAAGGTTTGTATTCAAATTAATTCAAAATTTTGCTTCAAAAATAATTCCCCAAAAATTAGGGTTTTGAGTTAAACATTGACTTTGATTTTGTAATTCAAAATCTATCAAGAATTTGGCTTTGCTCATAAAATCAAAGTTGTAGATATTGAAAAATGGAACAAATTTCATTTTTGCACCAATTCGTGAAAATGTTTTTAAATGGCTAAAAAATGGGAATTTAATTCTGTTTATTTGAGAAATAAAAAGAAAAGAATTTCATTTCGCTTAACAGTGTCAGCAGCTCGACTTCCTACCCTACAAGCCGGCTGGCCCAGCGTCCCCTTCTTGCCCTGGCGCCTCGCTCAAATTGAGCCCACGCGTTGTTCCCTTTCTTCGCTCAGACACCGCCGAGCCATGGCGAGCACGCCCGTCATGTGATATGCGGCCATCGCCGTCGTTGCCGGCCGTCGCGTCATGAGTTGGCTTCTTGCGCTGCCGCGCACGCTTACTGCTAAAGCCATCTGCGCTCGCTTGCACTCTCCGCTACGCCTCTCTCCTCTCCTTGTTGTTGAGCTCACCCACTCTCTTCCTCGCCGCCACCGCACCGCTAAATTTGCCGCTTCTCCTCCACCTCGGCCAGCAATCGTGGCGCCGCAGCCCGCCTCGCTCTCCAAGCACGTGGTTCTCGCGCTTGTGCCGACCGTCGAGCTCGAGAAGCGCCTTCGCGCCCCACCACCGTCGGCCATGGCGCGCGCCGTGCTTTCGGCCGCCGTGGAAGGCGCTTCTTCGCTCTTCTCCACCCGCTTAGCTACCTTCCCGCGTTAGCGACTTCTCGCGAACGCATGCGCCGCTTAGCTTCGCCTCATCACGCCGGCAATGGCCGCCGGTCTCGTGGGCCGAGCCCGTGGCCGTGGTGTCACGCAGTGCAGGCCGTGGCCTTTCGCCTCGGCCGAGCTGGGCCGAGAGGCCATGGGTCGACGCCCGGCCAGGCCGCCTCCCCCTTCTCTTCGCTCGGGCCGTGCAGGCCAAGTGTGGCGATGGGCGGCGATTTTCATGGGCCGCCCGAGAGTAATAGGAGATTTCGTTTTCAATTTTTCTTTATTATTTGAAAATAGAAATAGTTTGGAAAATGTTTGGATACTCAAATTTGCTCCAAATCCGTTGAAATAATTTTTTCTAGGTTCTTTATCATCAGATCTACTTGGGAAAATTATTGCATGTCATTTTTGGGATACTTCTCTGTAGAACTTTATTTAATCATGGATATTGCTGATAACTTGAAAAATATGTAGAAAAACCTATAGGCTTCAGAAAAATATGATTCTAAGTTTGTTGATCTTCTTATGAAATGTACTTCCTAGGAAAAATATGTTTCATGCATGAGCTGTAGGAAAATTTTGAGGTGTAGTTCAAGTACCTTTAATGGCTGATTTTTGTTATTTTTGCTTGAGAGCAAACTTTGTATAAAACATGCATGTGATAATTTTTATACAATGATTGTATGCCATAAAGATCATAGGAAAAATGCTAACTCTGTTGTTTGATACTTTTCACAGTACAAAGTATTTTCCTATTCATAATTGTGCCATAGCTTGTTATTTTTGTGTAGGCTAATCCACTCATTCAAATACCATGAAAATCTGATAGTAGACTACTTAGGGTAGTACTGTGCTATGGTAATTTTCTAAGATTTTTCTAAGCAATAAAAATAGATGTTGCTATTCAAACCTATTATTAATTAGGGTTTAAGCAAGTGTTGCTTTAAGTGTGATTAAGAAATTAGTGAAGCTTTGGTGTATCTTTGAAGCATTCAATAAGATGTGTTGACTTAACATATTAGTAGTTGAAGAGAATGCAGTAGATGACATGTGCTCGTAGTATATGTTCTTGGATGATGTTGACTACCTTGCATTTAAACATATCCATTGTATTCATCTCATTCGATGCACCGATTGCATAAGCACTTACGCGCATTGCATCATACAGGATCGCAAACCGAGAACCCAATCGTCATACCCGAGGAGCCCGAGGAGCAGCTCGAGGTGTAGCCGCAGGAAGTGCCCGAAGCCGACGAGGAGGACGTTGAGGAACTTCCGGAGTGCCCCAATCACCGCCTGAGTTCCTTCGAGAGAGGCAAGCCCCGGAGCATTTTCTCCTGGTTTGCAATTATTAATTAAATGCTTTACTTTAATTGATGCATTACGTTCAGGAGTTGTTTGCAACCGTTGCTGCATTATACCTTGTTTACCTTTGTTATACTATATCCTTGTTACCCTGGTATCCACAGTCGAGTCAATGCTTAGCTGGCTTAGACCGGTAGAAGTCGGGTGATTTCCTATCACCTATGAGCTATAGGTGGTTACCTAGATCTGCTTGGATGACTATGAAGTCATGGTATAACTAAGTGTTAAATGAAGTTGAGACCGGATGGAGACTTGCGGAGTTTTGGACTGTAGTGTTTTCCGTCTGTGTCGATTAAGGACCGACCGTTGTTGGGCCTCGAGTCATGTTGAACGCATGCCTTATATTTAGCTGGCCGGATAAAGTACCTTCCGACCGCGAAGCTGGGAGATTATTCGGGCCGAGTAGATTGCCCACAGCGCACTGTGCCGGAGCAGGTGTGGTAGGACACGGGGGCGAGATGATAAGACCAAAGTGCAGTTGGTCGGCCCCCGGGTACATGTGGTTCCTGACAAACTCGAGATACCTGGATAGTTGA